GGCGAGGTTTGCTCGGGAAGAATGCTCAGCAACAGGGATTAAATTCGTTGACGGCTTCATCGCGCGCGGATTTCGTTTTGGATGAATTACAAAACGCCGAGTCGTTTTTGGTTTCGATCGAGTCGACTTTCTCTAATCACCGAGAGGTCGAAGAAGCGCGCAAGGCGCTCAAGGCGGCTCGTCAAGGGTCAAAGACTGTTGAGGAGTTCAATATCATCTTCAATTCATTATTGTACTCGGTTGACTTATCTGAAGCGTCTAAATGTGAGATTTATGATGAAGCTATAAATCAGGACATCGTTAGGCTTGGCATGTTTCGCGGTGGATGGACTACTATTACGACCCTTCAAGCGAAGCAGGATATGGCGGCTAGCTTGGCGATGGATCTCGGGGGTGTAGGGTTTTATGAGAAGGGAGTTCGGCAAAAGGCAGTAAATCAGCTTGTCAACCAGCAACGATCTCAACATCGCTCTGATGACCATCGACCTGCGACTCAACCTCACTCGGACGCAACTAGAGATGGTGTCCCGATGGATATCGATGCGGTTATCGCTGGAGAGATTGAGGCGACAGGTTTCTCTTACAGTCAGTGGCGTTTGGAGGCAAAATTGAGAAAATTGTGTATTCGCTGTGGACAACATTTCGATAAAATTCACAAGGATCGTCATTCTTGTCCGGTCGATCCGAAGTTTCATCTGAAAACCGGAGACATGGCGGCTTTGTTGCGTGATTGGGGTTGTTCGCTGGGTGACGGGGGTTCTCGTGGTTCTGGGTCGGATGTTCGAGGTGGCGCAGATTCCAATCGTCCGGCTCGAGCTGACAGTTTGTTAGCAAGGATTTCGACGGACCGTCCTGAAGTGGCTCGGGTAGAAAAGGGGAAGAAACGCGAGTCGATCTCTCAAATCGAAAATCAACATTCAGCCAAGAGGTCGCCTGATAATTCTTTATTTGGAGGCCGGGATGCGGCTGAGGCGTCGACTTCGGTTGAGGTACAGGAGCCAATGACGGCTGGGGAGTTGTTTTTTGCGTCCCGATTGGCAGATATGGAGTTAAAGGATTGTAAGCAGCTGACTTATGTTAAAAAGTTTCCTAGTATCGATGATCGTCCATTTTTTAAAGGTAGATTGATGATTGGATTGTCTACATTTACTGATGCGTTGGTTTTGGTTGATTCGGGTGCTTCGGCTTCGTTTATTAATGAAGAGTTTGTGAAGACTAATAACATACCTACTACTAGTTTAGATTTCGGACTCCATTGTAATTCTTTCGATGGAACGCCTGCGTCTTCTGGTGTGATCAGGTGTTTTGTAAAAGGGAATGTTTTAATTCCCACTATGAGTGGTTCTTTTTTGACTTCTCATGTTAAATTGTTTGTAACTAAGTTGGCTTCAGCTGACATTATTTTTGGTAATCCATGGTTAAAAGATTCTAATACTTTTATTGGTGGAAATGAACATGATATTGTTATGTATGATTGTGTCCAGCAGGTTTCTTCCGTGACGTCTGATGAGGGTAAACATTTAATTGACTCTTTTGCTGATGTGTTTGTGACAGAGGCGGTGGCTAATTTGCCTCCTCATCGGGTAGGATTTGATTGTCAAGTTAATCTTAAAAAAGGAGCAATTCCTCCTTTTGGTAAGATGTACAATTTGAGTAAAGATGAGTTGGATGAACTGAAGGTTTATGTGACTGATAATGTTAAGAAAGGTTTTATTAGAGTTTCTTCATCGTCAGCGGCGGCTCCAATTTTTTATGTCAAGGTACCGGGGAAGGCAAATCGACCTTGTGTGGATTATCGGAAGTTGAATAACATGACGATAAGAGATTCATACCCTCTTCCTGTTATCGGGCATTTATTGAATTGCTTACATGGTTGCAGTTTTTTGTCTAAAGTGGATTTGAAGGCAGCTTTTAATTTATTGCGGGTAGCGCCAGGAGATGAATGGAAGACGGCTTTTCGAACACCATGGGGATTGTTCGAATATCAGGTCATGCCTTTTGGATTGGCGAATGCCCCAGCGACTTTTCAAAGATTCATTCAGCACGTGTTGCGTGAGTATTTGGATGTTTGTTGTTTTGTTTATATTGATGATATATTGATATTTTCCAAAACACAAGAACAACATGTCATTGATCTTCGGAACATTTTGCAGAAGTTGAGGGAGAATTCATTGAAAGCTTCTTTAAATAAGTGTGAATTTTTTTGTTCGAAAGTAACTTTCTTAGGTTTTGACATTACAGATACAGGTTTGAAGATGAATGAAAGAAAATTGAAGACAATTGCGGATTGGCCTTTTCCTTCAAACTTGAAAGAATTACAACGGTTCTTGGGATTTATTAACTTTTATAGGCGGTTTATTCCACGTTTTTCACAGGTCGCTAATGCTTTGACGAATTTGACTAAGAATGAGATGCAAGATACATTTTCTTTTAATTCAACAGTGGCACGTAATTCATTTAATGACCTGAAGGATTTGTTTATGAAAGAGCCATTATTAATTCATTTCAGTTTCGAAAAGGATCGGAGTGTTCATGTAGATAGCTCGGGATACGCCATTGCGGCCGTTCTGAGTCAACCAAATGCGGAAGGAGTTTTTCAGCCTGTTAGTTATTTTTCTAGGAAATTGACGGACCGCGAACGTTCTTGGCCCATTTTCGATCTGGAATTGCTGGCTATCGTATCGGCATTTGAGGAATGGCGAGCTTGGTTGATGGGAACAAAGGATCCTGTGTCTGTATTTTCTGATCATTCTAATTTGTTATATTTTAAGACAGCTAAGCATTTGTCTCCCAAGCAAGCAAGGTGGGCAAATTATTTGGACAATTTTAATATGCTTATTTTTCACATTGCAGGCTCTAAAAATCCGGCTGATGCTCCAAGTAGGCGGGAGGATTATTCAGATGACAAGTTTATTCGACGGGATGCGGATTCAATTACTCGAAATATGGTGTCTATTAATGATGTAGCTTCTGTGCCCGCTGGATCAAAGTGGCATGACTTACATTTTCAAAGGCCTAGTCTTTCATTGTTGACTTTCTTCGAAAAGAATTATACTGATTTGGAAAGAAATTTAAGAGGGGTTAAGCTTATTGACGGTTTTTATTGGCATTTTAATAGGATTTTTGTGCCAGCCATTTTGCGTACCAAAATACTGAAGATGTATCATGAAGTTCCTACTGTCGGTCATCCAGGTATTGCGCGAACTTTATCGTTGTTGACTCGAAGTTTTTCGTGGCCAGCGGTTAAGGATTCTGTCATCAAGTTTGTTAACAGTTGTGATTCTTGCCAACGTGTTAAGGCCCGTCGTCGGCCGGCAGATGGAAAGCTGGTCTCTATAATTCCAACTCCTCGTCCTTGGAGCGTGATTGGTATGGATATGATTGTAAAGTTACCGCTTTCTGGTGGTTTTGATTCTATTTTGGTGGTTATTGATCTGTTGAGCAAGCTGACACACTTTATTCCGTGTAATGAGTCATGCTCTTCTGCGGTATTGGCAACACTGTTTCGTAAGAATATTTTCAAATTTCATGGTTTGCCAGATAAGATTGTGTCTGATAGGGGGAGTACTTTTGTGAGTGATTTCTGGAAGTCATTGATGTTGTCGTTGGGCATCCAGTCTGGGGCATCCACGGCATATCATCCGCAGACGGATGGACAGACAGAGCGGATGAATCAAATTGTAGAAGATTATTTGCGGCATTTTTGTTCGTATTATCAGGATGACTGGCACAAGGCTTTGGATATGGCGGAATTCTCCATTAATAATTTGGATTCAGCTAGTTTGAAGATTTCTCCTTTCTTTTTTACTTATGGCTTTCATCCGAAGTTTAACATTATTACTGAATCTACGGGTAGAAAGGAGTTGGACGATTTTTTGGTAGATTTGCAGATTACGCAGGAAACGGCAATTGAATGTTTAACGCAGGCTCGGATTAAACAAGCGTTTTATTACAATCAAGGTAAACGGGATGCGCCAATTTATGCTGAAGGGGACAAGGTTTTGTTACTCCGGAAGTTTATTCAAACTAGAAGACTGAATTCTAAATTGGACTATAGGTATTTAGGACCTTTCTCTGTTGTCAAAATGGTTGGTACTAATGCGGTAAGGCTGGACATAGAGAAGGATTATCCTAAGCTACATCCGGTTTTTAATGTTTCCTTGTTAGTGAGATATCAAGATCCTATGGTTGTTACTGATCGTGGTTTGGTTTCTGGTCCAAAAGATAGGTACTATGAAGAGAAGGAAGTAGTGGATTGGAGTAAGGTTCGTGTTATTTTAGATCAGCGGGCGGTAAGCAAGGGTAAAGTGGATTATTTGATTGCTTGGAAGGGCGCTACGGTCGGAGAAAATACATGGGTTTCTGAAAAGCATATTCCACAATCAGCTCATCATTTTGTAGAAACATTCAAGAAGATTTATGAAACTAAATACAAAAAGAAGAAGAAGAAATCGGAAGATGTTCCGGGACAAAATAAGGTAATAGGGTAGGCAATTTTGTAACGATGCGTCTGTATCTTACAGTTTTATTTATCTGGTTAGGTAAATTTGTTGTTTTCGCTTATGATTCGTCATGCACATGGCTTTCTTTATTTTGTTTTCTGATGACGTATTATTTGATCGACGATTTGTATTTCCTTTTATCGATGACGTGTTTGATGATTCACGATCATCTTGATGATCCGTTGTTACTTTTATTTATATAGCTCAGTGTTGTTTATTTGTTTGTTCTCTTTTCTCTTCCTCACCTCGATATTCTATTTCATCATTAGTCATTACTTATATATTACCAAAACTTATAGTATTAAAACTAAATCAAGTTATTATTAAAAGAATTATAATCTTGTTTCTCATAGCGATCGCCAGAGAAATTCAGATTCTTAAACTATCTTCTCTTAGCTTCAGGCGAGATTACCTCTTGGTAATCTTCATAGTCTTTATTAGTTAGAGAAATAGGTTGAGCCTCACACTAAGGGCGTGGTGGGAGGTGTCGGTTCGACCACGGAGTGTAAATACCGTGGTGGAACCCTGCCTATGGCAATGACGAAGCGCCCCTGGTGGAACTCATGCCACAACAGACTTTCAGTGAGGTTGATTCAGGGTGTCTCTTCACCTTGTGTCTATCAACAGGCGATTTGCTGTCTTCCATCGTGCAGGACCCGGTCGCCCTTTTTGATCTATGCTAATAGCAGCCTGGTGCATATAAAGCTGAAGAGATGACGCCACTCCATTTGCAAACGGTACTCCCCTTCACATCCACAACCTGCCCCTTCTCGATTCACATTTCTTGCGCAAATCCAAGCATCCCCTTATCCCCTCATCCAGCCCCGCCATACAAAAATCAGCACGCAACCATGCACTCGGCAAAACTCACCATAGCTCTTATTATCAGTGCAACATGCGGTCTTGTAACAGCTCAATTCGGAGATATAAATATCAATAATTTCTCTTGCCCCAACGCGCCACATACTGAAGGTCGATGCGTCTACATCCGCTACAATACGCCTGATCGTCCAAAATCCGGTGCGGAATATTACGTCTGTAAGTCTTCTTTCTCATTAAATGCCCAACAGACCCAACTGTTCCACAGGCGCAATAAAGATTTGAAAACATATTTACTTTTACAATCTACTGCTAGTGGATTCCGCTGTGGAAAAGAAACCGGGAGTTTGGAACTGTGGTTTTAACCTTGCAAAGTGTTGCCATGTCAAGGAATCGTTCATGTCCCGGGTCAGTGTGCCACATGTACTCTCTCTCTCATCAGCACCTGCCCATTTGAGCTCACGATTTTTTTCAAAAAACCGTAGGACACCGAATCAATGGCTGATGGGCTTAAGCGCTTGTGTGAAAATCCTGCTTATCAGTAAGAGACACGGCGCTCCCGCAACTCCACACCCGATTTCTCCCTGAATTATGAACACCACAGCCATGCCTTCAATGCTGTTCCCTCAACTTCTTGTGGCGTAGTGTTGCAATCAGCTGTCGAGCCCAATACCATCTAGTATATGAAGATGTAAAAAAATGTAAACAGCCGTTGTTGACAGGTCTCATTTCTATGTATGCCCAACGTCAACATCCTGTTTTCCTCTTCCTCAGACAGTCCAAAATCCAACTGCTTCATGAACTGAATCACCTGTCAAGAATTGCTGTGTACCCTCCCAGCGGCTCTTGGCTGGATGTCTTGTGGACTGGGGCCATCGACCATCCAACCCTGCGTGACAGCAGACCTTGCGGCCCAAGGGACCCGGAATAAGTGAGTACAACGAGTGGAATCCGGGGATAATGGAGTACAGTATACATTCAGGTTTGTTTGGTTGATGGAAGGAAACAAAAGCCCAGAGGCGCGAGCTTGAACAATTCCAAAAGCTACATGAATTGAACTCGGAAAAGATAACTGAGACCGGGTAGTATGGAAGATGAGGTATACCGAGGTATACCCTTATGATGGTCATACTGTAGTGTGGAGTTGTTGGCCAAGGTGATCAGCTTCTCTGGTAATTAGGCATAGCGTAACCGAGAACTTTCAAAGCTAAAGCTGTTATGAGCATACACAGTTTTTTTTGATTAGTTTCTAAGCTAGAAAGAATTTGGTGCACTATTACTGATTTTCCTTTAGTGTCTCTGATAGCACCTGATCATGTATAGCACCTGACCAAGGCACTTAGGGGAAGGTGCTGGGGTCCATGTACGTGGATAAGATTGGTTTTGGACAGGCACAAAATAGTCCTGACCCAGTCCAAAACAAGACTATTTTGTGCTTGAAGGAAGTTTCCCCCTTTTCCTCATAAAAGACTCCAACCTGAATCATCCTCAAACTCTTCTTCATCCAAAACCCAAATCTTATCATTCATCCTTATCTCCTTTAAAAATCCTTAATTCACATTTTTCTACTTCATTTATCAAATAATTTTTTCTCACACCCTATGGGTTTTTAGGAACAAAGTGTTTTTGTTCCTAAAACTTATTTTCTTTTCCTATTTTGAAGATTGAAAGGAAATAATATTGAATTTCCTAAAACACGCTGATCATTTCATATGGTCCCTAAAACATTTCTGATTCTAAACAAGAATCAAGAATTAGTTACCACCCACACTTGGATCTGGAAAGCTGGAGGAACTTGTTCCACTTCTTCCCTAAGAGACGCAATGCAGCGCATCTCTGACATGAGTACCACAGGAATGAATTAGAGTGCTAAATGGATCAATTTCCGGCAAAAGATCCAATGGCTATTATGCCTGGTATGACATTGCCAACAATAAAACCTAATGTGAATGGAAATTTTTTTCTTTGTTTTAAAAAAAATGGTCAACAAAAAAACAGCTGTTTTATTCAGCTACATGACTTGTAAGTTGTAATGAATGAGACAAAATGCAAGAAAAATACAAAACAAATAGGGAGGTTTGTGATAGTAGCTTCTTGCAAGAAGCAATTTCTTCTTGAACATGAAACTGCAGCACTACGTAAACTGCAGCACTGCTGCAGACATAAAATTCAGCACAAAAGTTTAAATTTTTGCCCAGGAACTTTATGCAAGCAATGGGCAAGCAAGAAGAAGAAAATGACGGGTTTGATCAGCAAAAAAAACGCTAATGGCTAAAAGAAGCTGCTACATGTCCAACTTGTTGGATGGAGCCAAGTATCTTAATCAGAGCTGCTGAGATTGAACACTCATATCAAGTTATGAACCACAATCTAAAAAAAAAAAAAACACAAGATCAGTTGGAGTAAATTAAATTGGCCATATTGACATGCAATCTGAAATTAGGAATTCAGGTTTAAGGAATGCTTCAGAGGCTATTCATCAATATCTTGCAGAAGAAGCAACTCACATTGAAATAAAATAAAAAATATGAGATACATATACATTGAATGGTGAGTCATCTCTCATTCATAGTTAGGATGAAGAAAAATGCCATCTTTTGATGCTGACTAGCTTTTTGGATTGATTCTCTGAATCTGAATCAAAATATTCACATGAAGAGGAAGACAATCCATTAACTATTCAGTAGAAAAAATATATAAATTTTTCCAATTATGTATACTCAAGCACCACTGCAGTCTTATTACTCTTTTCTTTTCCCTTGCATGTTTTTGATTTATGATACAAAGCAGCACATATTTGCTGTGATCCTTGTATGTGTGCCTTTCTCTTGACAGACTTTTTCTCCTTCTCAATCATCATCATCATCATCATCATCATGGCTTGAAAGTTTCTCTTCATGTATATTTAACCTCACAAACTCATGGCCTAGAGTAGTGGGTTGTTTTGAAAAATCATTCCAAATCTTGTTCTGGAAAATAACCCGTCAGATATCTCATCACCACGTACAGTGCTTCCATCGTTTTCTTTGTTTGTAAAATACAAATAAATAAAGTGTATTTAAGAAAGCACATATCAAGTGCTGTTGACATACATGGGGCAATATGTCCAGCATCCAAATGAGTGGTAGATCATCTTCTGCCATTAACTATTTCCAAGTTGGAGATCTCTGAGCCAGATCCCAGTGAGATTGGGTGGAAGAATTGCCAGGGCCTTGGATGATATGTGTCTGTAGGGGTGACTTCTAATTTGTAAGGGTTCCACATATCCTGTAGTGACCTAATGCAACATTGTCCCTAGAATCTATTTCTGAAGGCCTAAAGTGTGATTTCTGAACAATTTTATGAGAAAAACGTATAGAAGAAAAAAAAATTGAATTTTCACATATTCAAGTACCACAGCAGGGAAAATTTCCAACTTGAAAAATGGAAATTGGCCTCAACAATTGGGGCTATAGTACAGGCCTTAGGCAAGAGTGAAGAGCCTGAGCTTAGAATTCCAATTTATTTCCAAACACCTCGGAATAAACAATGTACCACATGGGGTCTCCAGGGAAGCGCCTGGTTTATTCCCCGGCCAAAATTCTGGAGGATTCTTCCTGTTTTTAGATTTTTCATTCCGGAAGCCGCATGCATCTTGGGAGTTCCTTTAATATTCCAAATGCACTTCAAAAAAAAAAAAGTGAAGGTCAGGGTGCACAACCGCCTGAAACCACATGATAAGAAAGCTTTCCTTCTTTCGCGTCTACCAGCCTGTGATTTTGTTGTCTACACCCCGTCATGGCCAATTGGAGGACTTCCCGTCAACTTCTGCGGGTCTCCCAGAGTCGGTTTAGAGCGTCAAACTTCAAATTTCCCTGCGAGAATTAAAAGTTTTTGGCTCTAGATCAACTTCTGCGAGGGTCCCAGATCCGACGGGAAGTCCTCCATTACAATTTCTGACTACGAAGCCGCCTAGAGGAACTCTAGGCCTTTGAGCGGGGACAGATGCCGCGTGGGAGGGGCTTCCGCCGCCCAGACCAAGTCGAGCCCGGCCCCTGCAAATCAAAACGTGAAAGGCTTTGACTAGAATCGAAGCAACATCAGGGCGAGTTATTGTAATTTTCCCTATCCTGACGAGCGCCGTTACCCCTTTGGAAGCTCTTATAAGGGCGTGGTGAGAGGTGTCGGTTCGACCACGGATTTACACTCGAGTGTATATACCGTGGTGGAACCCTGCCTGGGGCAATGACGAAGCGCCCCTGGTGGAACTCATGCCACAACAGACTTCCACTGTCCAGTGAGGTTGATTCAGGGTGTCTCTTCACCTTGTGTCTATCGACAGGCGGTTTGCTGTCTTCCATCGTGCAGGACCCGGTCGCCCTTTTTGATCTATCCTAATAGCAGCCTGGTGCATATAAAGCTGAAGAGATGATCCCACTCCATTTGCAAACACCCACTCCTCTCCACATCCACAACCTGCTCCATCTCGATTCACATTTCTTGCACAAATCACGTTACCTACCCATCACCTTATCCCCTGATCCAGCCCCCCCATACAAAATCAGCACTCTATCATGCACTCGGCAAAACTCACCATAGCTCTTATCATCAGTGTCACATGCGGTCTTGTAACAGCTCAATTCGGAGCTGTTAGTTACAACAACTTCTATTGCCCCAACAAACCACATGTTGAAGGTCATTGCGTCTGGACCCGCTACAAAAAGCCCAATGTTCCCAAATCCGGCGTGGACTATTACAACTGTAAGTCGTCCTTCTCATTCAATGTCCAACAGAACAGGCGCTTGAAAGATTTGCATGCATTTTTTCTAACTTTTACAATCTACTGCTAGTGGATCCCGCTGTGAAAATGAAACCGGGAACTTGGAACTGTGGTGTGAACCTTGCGCTGTGTTGTGGCGTCAATGACTCAGCTATGTCCGAGGTCAGTATACTACATGTGCTCTCTCTTTCTTCCTCACCTGCCCATTTGAGCTCACGATTTTATTTTTTGAAACATCGTAGGACTCCAAATGGATGTGGAATGAGATTGGTCGCTTGTGTGAAAAACCACTTTACGCCTAGTGAAAGTAAGAAGCACGGCGGCTCGACACCCGATTTCTCTGCGGATCATCTAGATACACCACAGCCATGTCTTCAATGTTGTCCCCTCAACTTCTTGTGTGTCTAGTGTTGCAACCCGCTGTCGAGCCCAATACCGTCTAGTATATAAAGATGTTAAAAATGTAAATAGCCACCGTTGACAGGTCTCATTTCTATGTATGCGCAACCCCAACATCTTGTTTTTCTCTTCCTGAGTCAGACTGTGATCTGACCAAAACAAATTCAACTGCTTCATGAACTAAATCACCGGTCAAGAATTGCTATGTACTCCCAGCGGCTTCTTGTGGACTGGGGCCATCAACCATCCAACCCTGCGTGAATTACCAGGGCATTCGATGATGTTAGCGGGAGGCTCAAACCCCGCCGACGCCATGATAACTTGTAGATCCAAATGAGGGCTGTTGCCGTCTAGAAAACATTCGGGGCATTTGTGGAGTATTAGGCTTGATGAGGAAAGCAGACTGCTGGAACTAGCTCGCCACCAGAAAAAGGACGATCACGTTTTTCCCGATAGATAGACATGTGTGTCAATGAGTGTGATTATTGGTCGGCTAAGCTGTATAGTGCTCGTTTTTCTTACGCTGGCACACATATTCGTCCTCAATTTTTTTTTTCTCGTGACAACTAGAACGTCGGATCGATGGGGAAAACTCAGCATGATTGGGACTCCGACCACGTAGACGGGCCAGGGAGACGTCACCGAGACCCGACTGGGGGGAAACGTATCAAGCTTACCGCCGTGCCTGTTTGGCCTTAACTCTTCCAGTTTCAATTCTTCTTGTTTCTGCAGAAGGATGGATTACAAGTTGATGATCATCCCCCCTCAGCTCAGACGGATTCTTCTCATTCAGCTTGTCCCTATCGTTGCTGTTGCAGCAAGGCCGCCCGAACCTAGCGCAACTATGTATCGTAGAATTTTCTACTGTATCTTTATTTTCCTTATTCCCCCATTGTGGAGAAAGATGAAATCGATCACAGACACAAGCCACTTACACTGGAAAAGGAAAATTTGCCCCAAAAGAATCGGAGTTATACATGGCCCTCGTACCTCGCGAGAAGAGTCCCATTCATTCACGCTAGTTTTGATCTTCACCCATCGAGAGATATACCCTTGGCCGACGGTATCCACATCCTTGTGATATCAAGAAATCTGTTTTCTTATCTTTATGATCACATCTCTATCACATTCCAGTTGAAACCTTTCAATCCAAACCAGTCCCTTGGTATCATCAGTCTGGTTTGATCTCTTCAACCTTGAGGATTTTCAAATCCTTTGGCATTCTCATTTTGTTCTATGTACTTGTCCGCTAAGTGTACTTAAATATTCGTGAAAAAGAAACACATCACGAAAATTGCATAGAAATCGACAGATTACCTCTCCCAATCTGTATGTCCTATACTAGCCTATATAACGCTAGCCGTTTATGCATTCCTGCAGGGGAGGTGAGTGTGTGCTCAAAAGAACATTCGCCATATAATTTTCAAGATGAATAAGGCCCGTTTGGCAGCGAGATAATCCGAGCGGTTTACATATTGCTATGTTTGCCTGACTGCATCCTATGTGACATCTGATCAGGACCACCAAAACCTGATCAGATGTCACAAGAATGGGCAATATATCGCTTGCAATATGTGAATACATTGCTGCCCAACGGAGCCTAAACAAAACGGTCGAGATGATGATGATGACGAGCTTGACAGTTCGCCGAAAGAGATCTCGCCCAGTGCTATTATTAATCTGCGTCTTTAAAGAGAGAATTGTCGGTGATGACGAGCTGAAATGAATCTAAGCGGGGCTTTTTGCCCCTTCCTTCCAAGGCTTCCATGCGCTTATCTCGGGCGCCAGCCTCTGCAAAAGAGTCTTCAAGCAATTTAATAAAGATAAAGATCGACAAAACTTCCGCAAGACAATTTGAGTCTCTTCCCCGATCACATTATATGCCAGGGAGTCAAAGGTCCGGTGACCGAGGGAGGGCAGGAGAAAGACGTGATTGATGAGATGATGATGACGAAGAATAAGGTCCATGAAGCTGGAAGCGAACCTTCATTCGTCCATTTCCGTCCATCTTTTTACTCTCATCAAATCACGAAATTAAAACCAATAAGCATCAACCATTAGTTTTTCTCTACCTTAGGGATATTGTCATCACAATATTCAGCACCACACACACTGCCCTGCTCAGATCCTGTTTCTTATATTAAACTACCACGATTTGATAGAAGAAATACTCTATCCTTTCTTGTTAGTCCCCCTCCCCCCTGCCTTTCTGCTCATAACCCCGTCAGACTCCTGAAGAGTATACCACGCAACTTGGTCGTAAAACCACAAAGACTTCACTCCAGTTTCCCCGTTTTTTTCTCCTCCAAGGCGCTTTCGTGACTCTCTGATCAGCTTCCCCAGGCCTGTTCCTGTTATTGTTGCGGTAAGCACACTCAAGCCTAAATCCTTTCTACGATCCAATATTTCAAGTCACCCTCGATTTCTTTCGCTTTATATATAAACACTTCCTCTTCCCCCTCTTCCTTGCGATTTCCAACAAAAAATATGGGCGAAGGCCGCAGAATGACATTTGGTGCCAATCAGTTTTTCCAAATAACATGTGGCATCTGGCTAACATTTTGAGATGGAATCAATCAGATGATAGCCTTCATTGTCAAAACCTATCGTCTCCTTGCTCTCCATAAATTTCTTCCTCTGTCTCTCTGTTCATCCGTTACTACTCCCCACATTAAATGAGGGAGAGATGACGGAAACAAGGAACAGTCTTCAGCGCTCATCCTTTTTAATCAAGTTCACATATCGAATTTATTTCTTGATCATTTTTCCTTGGTTTGATTGTTGAGAATCTCTTTATCATTTTTTTCTCGTGAGTTCTAGAGTTAGTCCAGTTTTTTCTAGTCTAAAATGAGCCTAAGAAGGTGAGGAGTACTTCATCATAGGCTCGTCTGATCTCAAATGATCTTTTCCGTCTACACCATATATTTGAGCTTGACATAAATATCAGAGTAGCAAATTGGCGTCAATCCATGTCGATGCTCTCAGACCTCTCCATAATCACAACCATCCGACCCAAGCAGTTGTGAGCTTGCAACATCTGTCTCCAATTAAAGAAACAAGCGTCGACTCAAGAGTCAGACTATGATGGAATGAATTCGGATCTTCCAAGGCAAGATGGAAGTCTTCTCCATTCCGCATTGATGATAGACGGGACGAAGGATTTCGTTGGTCTGCTATAAGCACTAGAATGGTCGTTGACTCCCAAATTCTATACAAATTTGGTCTACCACACATCATCAAACCGTATCTCATTTCCTGGTCTTCACTGCGCTCCGAAAGGAAGAGTGCTTCGATTGAAAGCTTCCAGGAGAGCCTAGCTTCATCCCAGAAGCTCTCGGCCCAGGCGGTCTTCTGATGGCTGTTTTAAGGAAGGATTTTGTTGTCCCCTCGATATCCAACGCTTCTCTTGGCATTTCTGCACCAATGATGATGAGATTCGCATACAACCTGGTGGCCTTGATCTCTTTTCTGTGCTGCTCCAATATCATCAGCTATATATCCATCTCAGCTGAGGGCAGCTCATTTTCAGCACACTTGCTCAATCAGCTAGATATCTGTCACACTCGAACTGACTCCAAACGCCATCTTGTGATTGGTACTGACTGGCTTGTTTTTGTCCTCTCAGGCTCTCCTCCACAAAAAAAAACAATCACCCTTTCTTGGCTTACTATCGAAAGTAAAGCCATCTATCGAGTTACTCTTGAGACCTAGCTCGCGGTACTAGTTCTTGTTCACCGTCCTTGTAAGGAGCTATTGTGAATCAGCGCGAAAGTCAAGAGGGACGCGGGAAAAAACAGACATACGCATTATCAAGGATGGACCATCGCGGGATGAATTGTTTGCTGGCGGTGATAGCGTTCCTCATGCTGGTCGAATTTGGCCAAACACTATCGGTCTTGAAGGCGCGACAAGTGACCGACGCGACTAACCAACAGCTGGTCGACCCGGCGATCACTGACCCCAAGGCTATCCATGCCGATAAGATAATGTGGTACACCCAGGATCCCGACCAACAGGACCATATCAGGTTACATTGGTTGGCCCTTTCATTTCCCGCTTCAATCTACCGCCCTCGGCTTCGTGCCACTTTTCTTTATTTCCTGTCTGCAGAGCACTGGGATTAACCGTCACGCAACCTCCCCGTTTTTGTTCTTCTCTTCATCCTCGCTCATACACACCTGGATCATGCTCTGAAAAACTGCTTCCGTGGATGGTCTTAACAGTTATCTTTCTATGGTAAATCCGCTGATAAATTCAAACACAGATTAGAAAGATAGATGATTAGTAACTTGAAAATACGCTGGTTTGGAAGACCATCCAAATTTGAGAATTTGAAGTTGAACCGAGTGTTTTTTTATTGCATTTGGTAGGCTGCCTATGGAGATTATCGTACGCTATGTCCGAGCACGTTTGCGGTGGAGGGCAACGAATTTGAAGTTCTGCAAGATTTCGAGACGGCGGAAGGACAGAAGGGATTTGTAGCACGGGTACCATTCATGCAAAAAGATAGTGATAGTATTCCGGGGGTACGACTCAGTAGTGCCGCTATCATGGGAAGTTGTCCCGATCGACTTCGGCCGCCCTTTCCCTCGCTGCACCGCCCACAATCAATGCACCACCGGCAGGGGCATCCTCCAGCTCTACAACTCCGCTAGAATCGCCACTGATAATTGGGCAGTTGCCAAGCAGGCCGTTAACGCTACTGGCCTCAAATTCTCGGTCACTGGCCACGGCATCGGCGGCTCCGTCGCTCAGCTTGCCGCTCTCGATCTTGGAACCCAAGGCTTGGTACATTACGCGCACTCCCAAGCCGCGTCAGTAGAAAACTTTCCCTGTTTTGTCCCCCCGCTCTCATATGTCTCACATCTTAATATTTTGGCACCGATGGATCAGTATGCAACAAAAAGAAGGCTGACCAGCTTTGAACTTTTTTTGTTGATTAGACCGAGATCGATGTCACCGACGGCGGCCAGGATCCTCTCGGAGGTCTTCCAGGGCGAGTCTGGTCAACACGCGGTGGCCAACCACGACTACTTCCCTCACATGATACCTCGCTCGAAAGACTTCGTTCGGGTTAACTCTGCCGTCTGGATCTTCGGTAACCGGACCGAATGGATGAGAAATTGTCACTACTATGCCGAGAATATCGCCTGCTTGGGTAACGGCACCAGCATCCAAGATAACTAGTGAAGTCTCAAACCTTTCTCGCGTTCTCTCTCTCCCACTCGCCCCTTCTTCTCTCGTGGTCGATCTGCATACTCATTCCTCTTTCTGTCCTTTCCCTTTTCTTCCCTTCCAAAAATTATCTCCGTCCACTCTCGTTAAACGATAATTGCGTACAGTTATTACTTTACCCCGTTAGGGCAATGCGGCTCAGCCGACAAAGGCTTCTGACCGTATATTCCCCCAACTCCCTGTTTAAAAGAACCCCCCTTGCATCAGAACATATCATCTTCCTAACAAACAGAAGAGCCCTCCAACCTCTTGCTTTTGACTAGTCTTCTCTTCTTCTTGTTTATTTTATTCTGTTTAATGACTAATAATGATCAAGTATCATGATTCTCAATCATGATCAAAGATGATGATAAGTAACATAAAATCAATCATAAATTTACCAATCCTCAAGTATATTGTTATCCATTTCTCATGTTACATCTTATTGATATCTTTCTTGTTTTCTGATCATACACAAAATAACCCCCCCAAAAAAAAATCAAATAACATAATCATAATTGTCATCCCAAGCTGAACAGTTAGTTTAGCTCAAGAGATAATGATACTTCAATCTTGAGATAGCCTAGATCTCTGAACCTGGCCAACAACAGCTTTGTGTCAGGGATTATAGACAAACAGCAGGGCCACATTTGAGACAGTCAAGCAGACTACATCAATTGAGAAAGCAAGATGCCTTTTCCAATCTTTGGGATCTTTTCTGGCCAGATCTCCTTGCAAGGAACAAATTAAAAATGTAGCCCATAAGACTTTTTGGGCACAGAGGATTCTCTTTTAAAAGAGTACTTGGCAATACATAGTTACCCAAGGAGCTCTTCTTCTTCATCTGACTTCAATACGAGATATAATGCTACATCCTTTCCTCCAGAATTGCTCGTGTTGTGAACCATAACCCCCCTCTCTCTTCCAGTTTTTGTTTTTCCCAAGTCAAGTTCCTCCTTACAAAAAACACATCATAGGAAAAATGAGAATGGTGTAGTGCCCACCACAGCCAAACATGAGCTCCAGTACAAGAGCTGATCGCCCTCTTTCTTCAGCTTCATCAAGCTCAGATGTGTACAGACACAATCTCAACACAGATTGATTGTAGGTTCCACTTGACAAGAAGGGAGTCTTTTTTTGTTTCCGCGAATTCAAATGATAATAATAATAATAATAAGTAAATACATAAAATACCGAAAGCAAACTTGATGTTCAGAGGAAGGGTTTAATTTTGCTTGAATTTCTCTTGCCAATGATACAGCTGTCTAGAAAGATCATCGATGATTTCGAGGGTTTTAGAGCTAACGACGGATTGAGAAGAGTCGAAAGACGAGTGAGAGTGAGAGTTTTGGAGGGACGATTGCTGAGGATTGCTAGGATCGATTGTCGGGAGTTGTTGTTGTTGTTGTTGTTGTTGTTGTTGCTGTTGTTGTTTAGAGGAAAGACTTTTGGCGATGAGTTCGTTACGTTTCTCACGATCAGACGATTCGATCTGAACTTTCTGAAGATAATCGACGAGATGTTTGGAGCGTTTGCGAAGATCAGCGATCGTAGTTCTTTTGGAAGGGAATTTGACCTTAGCCGGGGTCTCATAGATCTTCGCCTCAGCTCCGTCGCCCAGATCTTCGATGATCAACGGCTGAGGAAACGGGGTTGGGAGGAGATAGTCCAGATACGAGAGATGGTCCGGGAGCCCCCAGCCCTCGGAAAGCATCGCCTCTATCTGCTGTTGTCGTTGCTGTTGCTGTTGCTGTTGCGCTTGTTGTTCAGTCACTTGCTGCTTCGTCCGGCGTCCGTCCTCTTTGCTTCGCTTCGTCGGCGACCCCCTTCTACCGGTTGCCGAAGTAGACACTGAGGCCGGATTCCGGTTATTATTAAACACCCCAGTCGCCTTGTTCTTACTGTTACTTGTCCCAACTAGTCCCAAAAGCGAGCAAAGCATGATCGAGTTAGAGGAAAAGGGCCCACATCGAAGCTTTGGATCAATTTTGTCCTTGTGTTTCGACACTCACCACTAGATTCGTCGGTCTCGTCTACCTTTCGACTACGTTTGTGTTTGCCGATCGGCCCTGAGAAAAGCGAGCTCGCACTGGGCGGGTTGTAGAGTTTGCTAGTGGTCGTTGAGACCGATGCGGCCGGCGAGGGGAGTTCGGCGCCAGGACTGATCCGCGGTCGTTTGAGTTTATCTTCAAGAGCTGGCTCTACACTTGGCCTTAAAATCGTCAACACGACACAATAAAAAATGACAAGGAGTCAGAATCGTTGCACGGAAAGCAGAGAGAGAGAGGACGCAGACTGACAAGATAGGAGATTCAATCTGATCGAGTGAGGGTCTTTTGCGCTTAGCCTTATTAAGATCGTTGACAGCACTAGGAAGGAGAGTAGATTCGGCAGTCCCAGAGCTACTAGTATCCATGGCAGTCTGTTTCTTCTGAGCGAGAGGCACGACGCCGTCGACCAACATATTCGACTGTCGCCTCGTCTGGGCAAACGTCGGCAGGGCAAAGCCGCCCAGCGAGAGTTGGTCCTCCGGCTTCACTCCGGCATCCGTCAGGAACGCCGCCAGGGAGGCTGCATCCGGGTTCACTCGCTCTCGTCGACTTGAACTCGATGTGAATGATGGAGACCGTCGAGTCGGTTGATGACTTGTCGATTTCTGGTATTGTCTATCAAATATCAAGGAAACCCAAAACCAGAAATCAGTCTTTGGCTTTGAATTCTCAAAAAAAGAAAGTTGTGTTGATAAGATTAAGAGGGTTTACCCAGTGGTATGTAAATCCGGTCGACATTTTTCGCAGAAGTAATCTCCTGGAAATTCCGCGTAGAGTCCAACACAAGGTCCGTGTTGCCATACGGAGCATTTATCGCATTGGAACATGATCACATCGTTGGCTTCCTCATCTACAGTTTATTTTCAGGAAAATTGGTTAGAATCGAGTCTAAAAAAAGAGAAATAGATGATAAAGAAAAAGACTGACTATCTTCTCCACAGACGCAGCGAGTGATATTAGCATCATCTTCTGGGATAGTTTGTTCCTGTTTTTGATGTTGTTGAGCGGGATTATTGGGTAAGATGGGAGGAGAATTTGATTTTTTCTTTGAAGAATTCTCTTTCTTCTGATTGAGACTAGAACGACGTGTAGATTTGTTAGATTTTCGGGCGCCACCACGAGAGCTTTTCTGGGGTTTGGGTGTAGGTTGAGGGATGACGGGTGAGGGTAAGGAGGAAGTAGTAGTGTAGGTCATCGTTGTTGTTAGTGGTAGCTCATTCTTCGAGTTGCTTGCCGTCGAGCTCGTCGTGGTTGTTGTTGAGGTTCGGGAGCGTAATCTGAGGTTGTTGGATAGTTCAGTGGCTTCAGTTTCGGTTTGTTCGGGCGATTGAGCTTGTTGTTGTTCGAGAGACATGATGTGTTCATTGAGGAAGTGGTTGGTTTTGGGTGGGTGGTCGGCCAAAGTGGTCTTGGTCAACTCATCTTCAGAGTCTGCCGGAACCCCCCGGGGGTGCTCGACGGAGAAGCCCCGGTAGCCTCGGGTAGATTCCGAAACATGTCCTCATGAAAGCCTGAAGGCACATCAGACCACCAAGTCATGCCTACACATTGCAGAAAGGCAGATCTGTGGAAATACTCAGATAACACCAATAAATAAATAATCCTTCCAAATTGAGCTCTTACCTCCTGCTATGTATGAACTAAAAGCATCGCAAAAAGAGATCATAAGTATTGGGAAGTCAAATTTCAAACCAAAATTATTGAAATAAACTAGCTTTGGATTTATCTAAAAGAACAGGACCCCGGAGATCTAGGGCTTCCAGATGTTAGTAACAAAAATGTGTGAATGTTTCTGTCAACCTTAGAGACACTCTGGTGTGTCCAAAAGGTCTCAAAACCAGTGTACAAAATGCATTGGAATAATGGAATTGTTAGTTAGAAGGAAATGTGCATAATGAATGATTTAAAATGACACAGTTTTAGTTAGATGATAAATGAGAAACATAATTTGACAGGATTGTTTGAAATACTAACTAAGTGAAGTAAGCAACATGTAACCCAGAATAAACACAAAAAGAAACTATATTCATGTATGATTACAATGCTTGATTATAGAGTACACATGAAAATGGATGTCCAGCTTGGATATAAAAACTACTTCATGTTGGATTGAATCTTTCTCCCTCGGAAAAAAGAACCAATCAAAATATTATATCTTATTTTTGAAATACTCATTCAAAACAGTAGTAAGACTTTACTTACTTAGATAAACTCAGCAATGGTATTTATATACCCTTGAGGTCTTTATTTATCTAAGAATTTTATTACATTTGGACTAGTATTCCTGAATTAGATATGGTTGAGATTGAATCTGATAACCTTACCTTCTTAGTAAAATACTGAAAGCCCCTAATCGATCAAGTTAATGTCTCTACACTATCATCAGACTCATAGAGAATCAGTAGTATTAAACTGAAATAAAATCTATAACAAATGATAATAAAATGAATCAAGAATCAAAAATGAATTAATATAACTGGGTTTGATGTTAACAACCCGATCGAGTCTCTTGACCGATGAAAAATCATCACAATCACATCTATCTGATTGCATCCTATTCTTACCTTTAGGAATAGAGGCCTAGGCGTTTTTGTGCAGGCTTAACCATGTTCTTATAGAACAATAGAATTCAAACAAGTTAAATAAAAGAAACAACTTTTTATCCTTCTTTTTATCTTTCCCTTCCTCTTGTATTTAGTTTTTTATCTTTACCATAGTAATACATTTATTACTACCCCCAATCTTGTCCAGCCAGACCTCTACGCGAGATCAACAGCTGACAATTGGGGGCCTCATCGCTTCCCATACCCGTACACCTCCCTCATCATATCAGAGGAATCATACGACTAGCCCGACTTCTTCATTTCCCTTGACTCAATTCGTCTTCTTCTTCGGGTATTCAACAATAGAAAATAAAAATAAAGAAAAATAAAGAAATTGTTTCCCTTAAATCCTCCTTGTTTCATCACTTCAACTTGAATTAATCAAATATACATATACATATATATATATTCTTTCATCGCAACACTAATAACGCTTTGCTTTTACTCTTCTGATCCAGCCCTTATTACTGGTTGACAAACTACAGTCGCTGCATCGATCGCGCTAGTGAACCAGCGCAAAGAATTAATCATCTAATAAACATATCTGATCACAATCGCTGAAGAGAAGCGATACCGAGTCAAGTAGTATATTAGCAAAAATAAAAAAGAAAACAATCTAGAACGGCAAGGACATCGAATCGATGAACAACACCGCTACAAACAACAACAACGAAGTTGGCAGCTTGGTACCAATCCAAGAGCTCAATCCGACCCCGTCGCAGACCACCTCAAATGGAACAGATGCAGCAGCAGTCAAACGAGCCAGACAAGAGCGAGGATTTTGATAATTAACCAGCGGCACTGTTGACGTCATACTAGATCACCTTAACACCTGAACAGGAGAAAACCAATTGAAACCTTTTCAACGATCAAGACCATCACTCGTGATGGCCGGTACAAGAACCCAAGCAGAAACCTGAGTCAAGAGCCAACACAAACAACACTTATAATGATAAGCAACAAACCTGCATCCAAGATGAATTGTAAAACTGTTTCTTCGCTGTCAACTCACATCACAAACCGTTCTTGTGAAGATTGTAAATACCACAAAATGACTGTATCTTCCAATCCTAATAGGGTGCCGACCTGATAAGTTTTCACTTTTATAGTGCTACACTAATTGGAATTAATTCTTATCCAAGATCGTCCAATTATTACAACATAAATTGCTTCCAACCCAAATAAAATTGCATCTATCTTTTTAAGTTGTTGTTTGATTGCAGCTCTTTATCTACCATTAACCAACAATATCAACAGCTAGATTTCTGATCTAGACCAGGAAATATCAACTGGAGAATCTTGTATTTGCTATGAGCCTGAGCCTTTCCATTGCCAAGCTCATTTTTTAATCTGCACCAGAAGGTAGTCCCAGTTCAGATTACTTATTCTGATTGATGCCACATTATTGAAACCTAATATCACCTGTGCTCCAAAACTAACAGATTTCAAGTATGCACTTATATTCTTCAAGTGAATTATGAGCTGAATGAAGACCATTTCAGCAAGTGCCCAAGATGCTTCGGTTGAAAGTAGTGTTTCATGTCACTTGGAACTGTTCTAAGTCCAGCATCTTGGTTTGATAAATGAGAGACTAGATCGATGAATGTGATATTGTTCCTCAAAAGACACTTTGATTGAGTACACGGAATCTTCAACTGTTGGTACCCAAATTGAAGATGAACCAAGATGAAGCTGCTTGATTCCAATCAATGGCACCATTGTGTTATTCAAAGTACAATGTTATGGTGATATATATATATCCACATTTTGAGTAGGCAATCAAACAATCAGTGAGGTAAGAATTCTGTTATGTCCTTGAGTTTTAAAATACAGCTCACACTTTTATACAAAAAGCAAACTTTTACCTCCCAGACCCATATAAACATATCATCTTAGCCTTTGAACTTCAAGTGAAGTAGTACATCAAGTGGCAAGATAACACCAGTTTACTGAACCAGTTGCAGGTAAACTCATGAGACTGAATGCATCAATGGATACTGGATTCAGACTTAATGGAAAAGTGACAAGGAGAGAAAACACATAAAGATTGGGAATCTACTTCCACCATTGTACATTATTGCCAAATCTTGTTGCTCATTTCCAATCAACAATCACCTCCAGGTCTATCAGAGGACATGTATTAGAGCCCAAAAATCACCTCTTCATTTTGCTAAGGTGTCAACTATGATTTAAATAACTGTTTTATTTCATTTTTTGATCCACCAAAAAATCAAGATGAGAAGTTTAACTTTTTCAAACAGTCCAGTAGGCCAAGAATAGCCATGATACAACAATAAAAAGCTTTGCTGTGCTTTTTAAATGCAATCAGAATCAATAGCTTGGGAACAGTATTGTAAATACATAGCTTGCAACTACCATAAATCCCTTTGCTGAACTTCTATCTTAGTGGTTAATAAAAGAAAGCTACCAACTTGAACCATCTGATCATCATCTTCAAATTTTGTTCAGAAAATGATAGGTACTTATAAATAACCCAATATTATTGCTTGTTGGAACTGAGTGGAGCTACAGGGAGAGGAATTTTGCCAAAATTTGACAGTATTGCAGAAACTGATGAGCCACTTTATCTCTTCTTCTTATCTGATTGTCTTTAAGGTAGTACACCTGTACCTTGCTCAGTGAAAAATCTGAAAGATCAGCCAAATTAATCCCAGCCTTTGTATCCCAACAGGTCTACAATCTATAAAGTATATTTTGATATGAGTCATATAGATTAATGTTTTTTGCTATACTAATAATTTCATGATGATAATGAGATATTTCAAGTTTCTAAAAGAAAGTATAACTATTGATTGGCTAATATCTTGATATTTCTCATAAAGCCTTTCATTTTATTAGATGCTCAATCTGTCGAGAAAAATTAATAGGAAAAAGTGTTTTTATTGGTCACTTGAAAATATGTACCAGTATTGAGGCAGAAGTGCCCTAACAATTCCCATATAGAAATCAAGGAGTCTCATTTCATCTCTTCAATCTAGCAGAGATATCAACTAACTGGAATGAAAAGGTAGGGGCTAGCTTCAAAGTTAAATTAAAGGGTAAAATTAATTCAATAGAAGATTCAACATGCACAACAATTTGCCGTGTAGTAGAACCCCTGAATGTCTCAATTTGATGTATTTTCAATTTTGTGACCAATGTTATGATAAATTTGACTGTTTCAATTCTGATCAAGAGGCCATTTTAATTTTGAGTGATTCATTGATGGCTAGATCAAATGTCCAATATTTGTGGATGATTTTTACTTCAAGGTCATCCTCTACTTTGATAATTCAATCAACCACACTTGTGCTATGTTATTTGAGGTTCTGGTTTTTTCTTGAACCCAATTATCTAATTATGTAATATGATTGAAATTGCTCAATCAAACTGATCTAATTCAAGTGTTTATCATCATGAATAAACCTTAAACATTCTATTTCTTTCACTCTGACAAGATTTTGTGGCTTGTTTTTAAGATCAAGTGCTGATTCTCAAGTTTTGAGACTAAGGAAAAACATTTTGATCATGTATCATACAGTTACCTCCAGTTTTAGGAATATTTTATTGCAGAATTTCCTTGTACATTTTCTGCTAGAGTTAAGGTATCTTACAACATTTTTATGAAGTCATGGGAGTTCCAAAGACATCTGAATTTTTTCAAATTTGAATACAATAGCTGAACAAGCTGTCATTTCATTTTCTTGCAGAATGTTGTTCCTTTCTTCATATTGATTCATGATGAAATTTATACATAAAAATCACTGTCTGAACTGATAAAATCAAAATTTGTTTCAGAAAGTAGAATACCATCTTACATTTTCTATTTTTACTCTTGATAGTTGAAGAAAATTCAAAGCTTGAATTGTCTCAAAAAGTCAAGTAGGATGATACTGTCAGCTGATCATTTTTCCATCACATGATTTAGAATAGATCCTACAAAGAAATCAAGATCTTCTCAATCTGTGTATATCAAAATTTTAAAATTATTGATGTGAAATTGAACCACTTTCTTGGCATTGCACATTCATACATGAGCAGCCTTTCTTGATCATATCATGACTATCTCAATTTCACTTTTGATTCTTAGTTCTCACAAGTATTATCAAGCTCACTCAGGAATATTGATATCCTGTCATATGTTTAAGACCATTCAGCCTCACTCAATCAAGCAAGTCATGCTTGGAATTGATCAGAATTTGAACAGAACATTAATCATTAGTTCATGGATTTTATGAGTGAGTCAGAAGCCAAATTAGACAAAAGAAATGTCTTGTCATTCTTTAGTTTTGGTTGCAGGTGATAATGATGACTCTATTACCTGTGGAATCAAATTCTAAAGCAGTAATAAAGGGAAATATTCTACCTCCAATCAACCATATCTGCCATCATGCATGACTTAAATTCAAGAATTAAATCCACTTCCTTTCATCCTTTACTCTGTTACTCAGTGATTTCAGAACAAGTGAATGATAATTTCCACTGACACCATGCAAGTAATTTAATAGATTTTCATGTACTTGATCCTACCATTGCCATGGTATAATAAGTGGCAAAATATTCATTTCCAACCAAGTATTAACGGAAGCCTGTGCAAAAACTAGAGAATAACTATAGTATTAACGGAAGCCTGTGCAAAAACTAGAGAATAACTATACAAAATTTGAGAAAAAATATACACAAACTGTTCCCATGATTTCATAGATTTCATTGCATGGGAATGAAACCTCTTTTGGTGGTAGGGAATGTCAACCTTAGAGACACTCTGGTGTGTCCAAAAGGTCTCAAAACCAGTGTACAAAATGCATTGGAATAATGGAATTGTTAGTTAGAAGGAAATGTGCATAATGAATGATTTAAAATGACACAGTTTTAGTTAGATGATAAATGAGAAACATAATTTGACAGGATTGTTTGAAATACTAACTAAGTGAAGTAAGCAACATGTAACCCAGAATAAACACAAAAAGAAACTATATTCATGTATGATTACAATGCTTGATTATAGAGTACACATGAAAATGGATGTCCAGCTTGGATATAAAAACTACTTCATGTTGGATTGAATCTTTCTCCCTCGGAAAAAAGAACCAATCAAAATATTATATCTTATTTTGAAATACTCATTCAAAACAGTAGTAAGACTTTACTTACTTAGATAAACTCAGCAATGGTATTTATATACCCTTGAGGTCTTTATTTATCTAAGAATTTTATTACATTTGGACTAGTATTCCTGAATTAGATATGGTTGAGATTGAATCTGATAACCTTACCTTCTTAGTAAAATACTGAAAGCCCCTAATCGATCAAGTTAATGTCTCTACACTATCATCAGACTCATAAAGAATCAGTAGTATTAAACTGAAATAAAATCTATAACAAATGATAATAAAATGAATCAAGAATCAAAAATGAATTAATATAACTGGGTTTGATGTTAACAACCCGATCGAGTCTCTTGACCGATGAAAAATCATCACAATCACATCTATCTGATTGCATCCTATTCTTACCTTTAGGAATAGAGGCCTAGGCGTTTTTGTGCAGGCTTAACCATGTTCTTATAGAACAATAGAATTCAAACAAGTTAAATAAAAGAAACAACTTTTTATCCTTCTTTTTATCTTTCCCTTCCTCTTGTATTTAGTTTTTTATCTTTACCATAGTAATACATTTATTACTACCCCCAATCTTGTCCAGCCAGACCTCTACGCGAGATCAACAGCTGACAGTTTCAAGCCACTTTGGCTCACAACCAGACATGATCTTTTTGTGCTGAAAACATGGGCACATGTACATTACATACACTTGCAAGGCAAATAATGTACTGGTGTTTTCCAGTCACTACAAGTTGAAGTCATATGTTGGCGAGAAAAGCAGGAAAACTGTTTTGAAAATGTATGAATCCCACGTTTTGGATATTGGCTTTTGTTACTCACATCTGGACATGCTCTCCTGGGTCCTAGAAGAACCAATTCATTTGGAAATACACATAAGAATTTCAATAAAATCTGTCATTAAAACCAATTTCAGCTTCAAAGGTGAGCCAGTGAAATTCTAGCATTGGGATAATGCATCTGGCAAATTGAAACACATGACAAGGCAGGTCAGTTTTCCAGTCAGAATAAGTTCCAGGTCCAGCTTTGAAAAAGAGTCTCAACAACCACTATTAAAACAACTTCTTGAGAACTAATTTGGGGGAACAAATAAGCTAGAGTGACAGGCCATGAGATCTTACCCATCTGAATCCATGATGATTGTAATATGCCAATTCCAGATTAACCTCACAGAAATAAAATAGTCTCCCTTAGTTGATTGCTGATCAATCATTTGTCTTTGAGTTTAAATCTCAATTGTTTCCAGTGGAAGAGGTCCACTATAGTTAGAGCTGGTCGCTACGCATCCGGATATCCGCGCGTATGCGGATATCCGGCTGCTTTTTCAGGCCAAATGGCCATCCGCATCCGCATCCGCACCCGCTAGCGGGTATCCGTCGCCCGCAGCGGGTATCCGATCGGGTATCCACGGATACCCCCCCTTTAAAGGCCCGCCGAGGCGCCTGGAAGGATTTCCTTCCAGTCGGGGAGGTACATGTACCTGCTCGCCCGGAAGGAGTACCTCGCCGGCTGGAAGGAAACCCTTCCAGCCGGCCATCTGCCCTTCCGGCCTCGGGTATCCGTTGAGATACCCGGGTATCCGCTGGAAAATCAGCGGAAAGGGCACATCCGCACCCGAACCCGCATCCGCTGGCGGGTATCCGCTACAGCGGGCGGGTATCCGCCAGCGGATAACGGATATCCGCAACGGATATCCAGAGACCAGCTCTAACTATAGTACAGATTCTGTAAAAGTATTGATTATTTGGAAGTCTTGCATGGACATCTGCTTGACGTGAATTACAAAAATCCAATCGCAAGTCACCAAACTCTTCAAGAGAAATCTGATTACAATTCATGATCATAAATCATGTCTTTCTAGGACAGCTCAATTGAAACTTCTCTTTTGCAGGTGGCATTAATTATCATCACTATTTTGTAGAACTTGGACAAAGGTCTAGATTGGTTTACAGCCAACTCATGGGTTTGTCCCAAAAATCACCTCCAAGTTCAGATATGAACTAGCCCAATAATTTTTTGATTTGTAAATTTCTTCTTGATGAATGTATGTTTTTTTTTTTTTTTTTTCATCTGTTTAGTCAGTTTGATGATTGTGAACATAAATTACACGCCTTCTTTGGAAAAAGTGTTCATATGGATTCATCAAGGTTGTTTGTTGTTGCTGATGGGGAGATTGAGAGATACAATCATGATCAGGTTGATTGATGGTTGCAATATACACTGATGATCATCTGATTATCAATTGATTTTAGAGTCTTCAACTCACATTTCTAGTAGGGATTTCAGCTTGATCCAATGCTTGGAGATTGCTTTGGGTCTGCTCTTCTCTTCTTTGGAAGAAGAGTCTCAAATCAGCTATTTCTGCCGCTTCCTGTTCCTACCCATTTCCATGAATCAGAAAAAAAAAACATATATATCATCGAATTATTCAAAGTTTTTCCAGAGAGAAATATTAAACAGACTTACATTTCTTGGAGATCCGATCTCCGATAATCGACGCAAGAAGTGTCCGAAAAGAGGCACGCCATTAATGATTCCATGACTTCTCTCTTCCTCTCGCCTTTGAGCTTCAAGCTCAGCCCGTTCCTTGCTCAACTTTTCATCTTCAGATCGACAGAGGGGACAAGTAAGATGTGTTTCGCGCCATTTTTCTACACAATCTTGATGAAAGGGGTGGGCACAACTTGGCCACTTCATCCGGACATCTTCAATATCAAATTCTTCGAGACATATCGAACATACTTTGAGTTGCTCCTATCCTCACCATCACATACAGGAAACATCCGAAATTCCTCAGATTCTTGTCTTATAATCTTTCACAGGGCATTGGCAAGTTAAAACTGTTTAGATCACTCACAGGCTCAAAGGTGTCTCGATGCTCTGCTTCTTTCTGAATGCTGGGAGTTGCTGGTTGACAACAGGGGCATGAAGATTCTTCAATGTTTCGGGGATCCACACAATCTTTGTGGGCGGTATGGCCCTCAATGCAAGTGGGCCACTTGATCGCTTGTTGACGATCCGAAATGGAAGAACTGCAGATCGAACATACTCCGGCCTCCTACTCGCCAAATCACTCGGATCATTATAAAAAAACAAGATTCAAGGCTGTATAAGGCAGCCTCTTGCGCTGAACAGAAGCCCCAGCCAAAAAAAAGGAGAGGATTTTAGCTCACATGAGGTCCAGCTGAAGTCGAACCGAATCTATTCAACCGTCTCACACCCGACCGAACTGTGTGGGTGAGCTTGTGTTTGATTGACTTGCAGGATTGGCGGATTCTTCTCAAGTTGTATGAGGAGGAAGAGGAGGCTCCATGCTCAAACGGAAGCCCATAAATGAAATTTGATACTTGGAAAAGCTTTGGTGACCAGAAAAGAGAAAGATGGTGTTAATCAAAATTCCCTTCGATTAAATTCACTTAGGAATGAACATGTAAATCTTACCACGATGAGTCTCAAACTCGTAACCAATAGTCGCATTTATGAGGTAACTGTTGGAACAAATTGGTGGATCAGCAAAAGGATGGGATGGGGAGGCGGAAGTGAGATTTTGAAGCAGCGAAGCGGAACTCATCCTTATTAAAGTGATCAAGAATTCAAGCCAAAAGCTTGCGTTTTAGTTATCACTATGTAGTCATCCTGTAACAAACTCAAAACATTCTTGTATGTATGCAGGCATGGGAAGTACCTCTACCAAATTCGTGCCGTTTCCAAAAAAAAAAAAAAAGAATGAATCACTTGAAGGAATAAAGGGTCTTCTGTTTTGTGTCTGTGTGTGCGGTTGGAGATCCTCTGAAGATGCATAAGATTGGTTCCAAGAACATTTGCCGCGATCTTTTCAGTACCCAAAAACTCCACAATCCAAAGTTACAGAAGACACTTCATTCGTCATTAAAGCGGTAGGGGTGGTAGGAGATCATCATCATTGAATCACATCCATCAGACGGGTAACAGAAAACGAGCGGGTGAGGATTTGAATTAGGTCTTACGCGAATAGTCAGGAAACGAGCAATCATGAGTTCCATCGGGGATAATGGGGTCAGATTGAAGTATGAAGAAGCAAATTCAGTCCAGGATAATCGAGCGAGACATAAATGCATTTCTGTTGGTCATGGGGCTTTGAATCGAAACAAAACTAAGAAGGAAACTGACTGAAAACAATTACTTCAACTTGGGATGAAGGTTTCACCGGTCCGGACCGTGGTTTCCGATGCAAGTGCCGAGATTGGATGACTTCCCGTCGGCATTTACGACCCTCGAAGAATTGGATCTACACCATGAAGGACTTGATTTTTGGCAAAAAAATCTTTCTTCAGAAGCCTTGTAGTAAAGGCCCTCATGTGAGCTAGTTGAGGTTGTAATTAGAGTGTTAATTTAGAACTGAGAGAGGTCTAAAAAACACTCTAAACCACGACGGGAAGTCCTTGGCTCCATTAGATGGACTTTAATTCTGGAAGAATACAATGCCGTATTCCTTCATGATGCAACTCAGGGTCAATGTGGCCAGAGCCAGGCATCGGCTCATCAACACACTGCTTTGATCCAAGCCATGCCAAACCGCTGGTTGATCTCATCCAGCCGCCCGGCGTGCCAATTGTGTCCTCCCACTCCACCTAGTAGTCATCTCCTCAGTCTCATCAGTAAGGCTCATCTGATTTGTTGAGTTGACTTTTTTAATCTGTTCAACTTCTGTATCATCATCTTCAAGATAAGTAACGCACACACTCGGAGTCTTGGCTTGATCTCAAGGCCTCCGTTATCATTTCAGGTGGGTGGGTGCATCATTTATATATGCTCTCCTTTTCTGTAAGCGGAATCTCACTGATTGACTTTCCATCCCCGAATTCTATCATGAGCTAATCTGGGATACACATATTATTTGTGTTCTCCAAAATGAAAAATAGGATCTCACTTACACCATGGGGCGGGTTTTTTGAAAACCCCCCAGCAAACGGATGGATTCCGTCCTGAGCGCCCGCAACTTGGTTGTGAAGCATCCAACGGACGCTCGGGCGTTCCTGGCATCATTTGGACGCTTCAGAAAGCGTCCAAGCAATGCTTGGCAGGCGAGACCATCCAGAGGATGGTGTACAGCCCGGTGTCCATCGGGCACTTGATTGGGAGTGTCCGATGAACAACAAGAAAACCATCAATTGGACACTTCTCAGAGTTTCCAATTGATGGTTTTCACCAGGGTCTGGCAGTCAAAAAAAAGGGTCAATTGTCAAAAAATGATCTTAAAAGGTGGTCAATGTGTTGAAAACAATCCAAAAATGCAATGTGGGGTCTATAGTTGACCCTTTGCCTGGTGCAATATTAAAAAATCTAGAATAGTCGAGTGGCAAGGCACTGCATCAGTGAAATTTCTGGTGGCAGTTCTGTGGGTCATGGGTTCAAGCCTAATGCTTGGTAGTTTTTGTCCCCAAGAGCTTCTAATCCTGCCATCTGATGGATGGTTTGGCGCTACCATCCCGCTTCAGCAAAATGCAAAGCGCATCCAAAGGATGCTCCTTGCAGGGCCAAAGTCAGATGGCATTTGGTACATCTGTTTGGGTATCCAAATGCCATCCACTACGCCCGGTGGTGCACCCAGTGGTGGAACTGGACAACTGACGTTATCTTGCATCCGTACACTTGCTAATATGTCAATTCTCGAATTCAATTGGCATTGCAAACAATCCTGAAGGCCATAGGGATACTAACATGTCTGGACAGGTAAATGATCTTGCCTTCATGCAATCTCTTTCTCATGCTGCCCAGATACACAGCGGGATAGAGCAAAGCTTGACTGCAGTGCTGGCGCCTCAGCCGTACTGGTGTCTCCTTGCTTTTACAGGCTGCCCACATGACCTTGGGTAACCCCATCTGAGAGAACTCAAACAACTAGGAGTAGATTTCTTTAATGAGACTATGGTTCTATGTACAAATACTCAACTTGGACTAAAGCAGACAAGGTGTTTACATAGCAGTAGAGATGGCCCCGGCGCATCCGGATATCCGGCTGCTTTTTCCAGGGAAACCACCATCCGCACCCGCATCCGCATCAGCTGGCGAGTATCCCCCCGCCTTAGCGGATATCCAAGCGGGTATCTGAAGATACCCGCCCCTTAAAGCAAGGGCAGTTGGAGAGGCCAGCTGACAATTGACCGGAAGGGTTTCCTTCCGGTCAACTCCCTTGTCGACTGGAAGGAAAACCTTCCGGTTGACAAGGCAGGCTGTCACTTGATCTCCACTTGCAAAATGCCCAAGTGGCTTGCTTGTTGCGTCAAGTCCTTTGTTTGGCAAGAAGATCAGGATTATTTGGCTATGAGAGCCACCAGAAAACTTTTCCTATATTGATCTGCAGACTTACTTGCCATCAGCCATATAAGCTGACTTGGCCATGATCCCCAAAGAACCTCCTGCCAGTAGGGTTGACGGCGCACTACCTGAGGTGCGCCAATGTGCGGGCGTCGGGCACGTGCACCCTTGGCGCGCATGAAATCTGGAAAAAGGGGGGGGGGGTGGCGAGCACTTCTAACCCTAACTTTTTTGGGGGGAGTCATCCATCAACTGCCCATAAAAGTTGTATTTTTTTGGGTTTCTTGTTGGTTGAACTTATTTTTTGGCCCCCAAGAACCCGGTTTAACCCCAAATAGTGTGAAGTGCCGCATGGCACCCACCAATTGTGACTACCCAATAAAGCAAAGTCAGACTTTGCTGCGGTAAAACATTGAGGTTGAAAAAAAATATAATTAAAAAATTAAAAAACATGGAAAATAGAATGTATGTACATGTTTTTTTACTGCAAAAAATGGTGCCCCTGGCGCGCCTCTGGCGCACATTGCTGGCAGTTTTGGAGGCGCCCTCCGGCGCGCACTTTTCCAAAAGTGGCGCCATCAACCCTACCTGCCAGATACAATTTTAAGCTGGGTTTTCGGGATGGCTTATGCAAAAGGGAATGTTGGGCTGGATTCTGGTTTACCTTTAGTTAAATTTCTCTCATTGTATCATTAAATATCATCCATAGTTTGTTAGCTTGTTGTTTTACTTGGGTTCATTGAGGATAGAACAGCTTGTTTTGTTTAGAGGTTGAGATTTTGAATACACATGTCTGCAAAGTATAATGTATAATGTACACAAGATGAATATTACATATCCTCCTGATCATCAGAGAAGGATTAGACAGTTGAGAACTGTCAAGAAGCCGGGAATTGGAACTCAAATCTCCTCGACCAAGAGCGCTGTTCCCCCATCCAAACCGGCATTCCCAAGCTATAATTTTCAGCTGGATTGGGTGGCTGGATCTGGAAGGCATCACACTTGAAAAAAGTGATTGTGGACGGAAAGGTTTGCAAGACAAGGACAATTTTCTGGTTCTTGGCTCTGTACCATGTCTCATGACTGGAACCCTTCCAGTGACAAGGCACATGTAC